AGTGAAGATCACCCAGCACAAGTATAACAGACAAGCTCCCCAGATTGGAACAGTTACTGGCTAGGGTATCTCCCTTGTAATTAATTCTCTACCCTAGCCAGTACCCTAGTTACTAGCTAGTACCCTAATTCTCTACCCTAGCCAGTACCCTAGTTACTGGCTAGGGTATCTCCCTTGTAATTAATTCTCTAACTTGATGTTCCTGCCATTTTACAAGTCAGACAACAGGTTCAAGGTCTTTTTAGCCCTTTAATGCCTACAGATTTGTGACAATTCCTTCTAGAACAGCTGGGGCTTGGGTTTCCAGTGGGCTTGGACCAGCATCAGAAAGCAATACTGGAGGACTTTCACATTTCCTCCTGGCATTGTCCTGTAATATAATTGCAAGGTTCCATCAATCTGCCACTGATGGGCAAGATTATTATATTACACTTCACTCTGCCTTTCCTTCTCTTGCAAGGATCCTAAAGCAGCTTACATAGCTCTCCCCCACTTTATTTTACTCTCACAACAACAACCTTATGAGGTAGGGGAGGCTCAAAGTCTGAGACTGGCCCAAAGTCACCCAGTGAGCTTCATGGCTGCGTGGAGACTAGAACAAGATCTCCCAGGTCCCAGTTCAATGCTACTCCAAAGCACTTATCAACAGTGCACTGATAACATCCCAACTTTACCTTTCTCTGACACTGAACTCAGGTGCGGCAATGTGTACCTTGAACAGGTGCCCAGACAATACTACAGGTTAAGAGGAGGATTACATGAAACTATACACTGCTTGTTTTCATAGCTTTTATGTAAGACACTTTGAGCGCTCCTAAAACTGGAAGTGGGGGGGAACCATCTTCCTTCTGGCATGAAGACTCTCCTTTGGACCCACCATGCACAGCACCTGATTAAGTACTGCTGATGGTGTTTTGCATTGCTGTCCAAGCTTGTTTTGCAAAATCTGAAACCAGGCATAGCCAATTTCTATATTCCCAAACTCTTCTGCTTTTCAAACAGCTACTGGAGAAGCCCAAAATGTAATCTTTCTCACAATCTGACCCCCTCACAAGTTGTCAGTTTCATAATTAAGATGGCACACACTACCAAGCAGGAACAGTATACTGTTACATATGTAGCTCACATTCCCCATAAGTATACTTTCACATTACAGAGTAGAAATCAGCTTCACACGCACACAAACAGATAAGTCACAAGGGTATGCAAAAAAGCAGATTGCTTGGGACCCCAGTTCCCAACATTCCTGGCCGCTGGCAGGGGCTTATGGGAACGGAAGCCCAAAACTTCAGGAAATCTACCTTCTCCACATCCTGGATACATAAGATTCAGAGGGGAGATACAAATGGCACACACATCACCTTCAAAGCAACCCAAGCAAAATGTCATGGAAGATCAGCTGTACTGTGGGAACCTGAGGCAGATCAGGGATGCTGGCTCCTTGGATGAGAAAGTGGTCATATCTTCCCTTCAGGCAAACCCCTTTTGCTGAGCACCCACCAAAACTCAGGGAACAACTGCCTATTCAACCTGGCCAGCAGACACAGGAATCCCTGCCTGATAACTAAGGACTCCTTAGGAGCAAAGAGCAAGCAAAAGTTTTATTGAGAGTAGTTCTGCAACTGGACTCTAAAATCTCAGATTTAAAAATCTTCAGTTCTAGACACCCCACACTGGAATGATGTCTGTGCCCCAGATTGTGTTTTGCTAGTCCACCAAGCTTCTTTGGGCCGTGAGCTGCCCTTGGGCCTTGTCTTCAGTCCTCCACACTAATTCCTAACTTCTCTGTCTTCCCAATAGAAACAGGTCAAGGAAAGTAAAATGCAGGATTTCTCAATTTCTAACCAGTTGAAGAGACTTCTCTTTTCACCCACAAGCAAATACCAAAACAAACTAAATCATGAAACTTATTCAAGGGACGCCTCCCTACAAGCCTGTAGTTTCCACTAAAATTTGAAGCTGTATATGAAATGTTGCATCATAAATGAGAGCAAAAACAAATGAGTTAATGTGTCAATTTTCAGCTCTTTTTAATTGCTGTACCTTTGGCCATTTTTATCAGAGAAGTTTTGGACAACTGTAGACCACGCTAGATAGATCACAAATGTCATGGCTTGACTTATTAGTTCAAGAAGTATCATTTTCATAAGCAGTAAAATGTTGAGGCTACAAACGGTGGAACTTTTTAATGGCAAGACCCATGTCCCTTTAGTATGAATGATTTTTGTGGCTTCCTTGCACGTTGCTTTGAAGTGAAAATGTAACTCAAAAGTTTTATGAGCACAGATCAAGAGTACAAAATTCACTAATGTTTCCTGATTAAGATCAGGACCAAACAGAGGCGTGGGCTGGGGAGTGGGAGGGAAATCTATCCAGAGGACCACTGGCTATTTCTTCCCTAAGCTATTTAGCAGCATGCCTGCTGGATAGGCCATGGCACCCAAAGTATCAGCACCAGGAATCTACCCATATGCAACAAGTCCAAAGCCAGTTTCTTTCATGCAAATACAAGCAGGAACACGACAGATTTCCATTTACCATGATAGCCTGGAAACATGTTTACTTCCATGAAACACCATGCAAGGCAGAAAGCTTGGAGGCCCTCTGCTGTATCTCTTTTAGAGCTGAAGGGAAGGAGAAGAGACCCCACCACTGCTACACCAAGCTGGAGGAGGAGGTAAGCGCACTGCAGCGCAGAACAGTCCCTCCTGGTTTGATTCACAGGGCCTGTCACAAGCACACACTTACAATTTGTGTGGATATGGTCCGTCTTTAAATTCTTGCTAGTTCCCCCTCTTTTTCTCAGTATGGAATGCTCCCATGAGGAATTTAATTCCAATCTTATTAATTAACTTCTCCCTTAATATTGTACTCAAGTTGTAAGGCTCCTTCATTGGACTATGTTGTCCTGAGGATGAGACACTGGTGTTCAAACTCTGAGTTAACAATAAAACCAAACATTTGTACAATAAGCGGATTGACTTCAAGATGTTCAGTAACTTCAGTGAGAGCCAGTGTGGTGTAGTAGTTAAGAGCATGATATTAGATACTATTCGATCTACTGGGCTAATTTGTATGAGTTCAATTTATTGTGGCTCTGTTTGTGGCGTTGAGTGTCTTCTTTTTAATATAATTGCTACTTTTGTGCAAATTCTGGATTATTTATCATTAACCACTGTATTTCTCTGCACTTGACATTTCATAGCAAGATGTGTTGTTTTTGAGAGAGCCAGTGTGGCGTAGTGGTTAAGAGCATGGGACTGGGACTCAGGTGATCTGGGTTCGAGTCCCCGCTCAGCCATGGAGCCAACTGGGTGACTTTGGGCCAGTCACAGACTCTCAGCCCAACCTACCTCACAGGGTTGTTGCTGTGGGAATAAGATGGAGGAGGACAATGATGTAAGCTGCCTTGAGCCCTTTGTAGGAAAAAGGCAGGATATAAATCGATAAATAAATAAAAACTTATTTCCTTAGTGAATAAAACAGTCTATAAAAACTACTTCTGACTGAGATATCGCACTCTTTCCTTCACAAGCACACCACACAGGAGATCCCCCTTCCTCTCCTGAATGTACTTTGCCCAGCCTTTATTTTATCTGTCACAAATTAATCTTTCCCTTCTGCACTCAGGTTTCTGTCAGCTTCTATCTCTCACACCCTTATAATACTTGACAATGTGAGGTTTGAGTCTCCTGGCTGCTAATAATGTCCTCCAAGTTTTCTACTTCCTTCCCTTTCCTTTTGAATCTTAAATGCCTTCCTTTCACAGCACTCTATGGGATTCTAATGAGAAGGCAGCCTCTTCAGAATCCAAAGTCGGCTGACTGACTCTCCTCACATGATTCCAAGCTCCGCCCAGTCTCTCAAGCTCCACCCACACTCAGTCACCAACCAAGCACCTCATTCACTCACCCCACTCTTTTACCTCCCTTGCCCATATGAGACTTACCAACATTTAAAGGAACACGCTCATAACACTTTAAATCATCACAGAGCTTGGCAGGTTGTCTGAATCCAGGACACAACCCTTAACTAATGATAGCATCTCCTAACTGGCCCTGCAGGCAAACTGAATCATGGTGGGCTGCTGCAATATGCAAACACCGTATATACCGGTGTGTAAGGCAACTTGCATACAAGGTCGATATTTGGGGCTGTTTTTCTAGTGCTTGTCATATGTCAGGTGTATAAGGTGACCCCAAATTTTTGATTTGCTATTTTCAGTTTCAAGGGGCTCTTATATCCCAGTAGATACAGGTATTTGTCAGCCAGAAGCTTCTAAGCTTCTAGACAGTCCTGATTTGACTTTACCGTATTCTAGTTAATAGTCACGTTCCCTGTCCGATTTCACCGGAGAGGTTTTGCAAAGATGGAGGTCAACGGCAGCCCGCAAGGGGGCGGGCTGGCTGGCTGGCTGGCTGGCTGGGGTCGGTCAGTTGGGGAGCACAGCTGGCGCCAGGGGCAGGCAGGAAGGCCGGCTGAGAAGGAGGCCTGTGCTTGCAGCGCTGTCTCTCTGGCACGGAGCTGCACGGGGAGTCTCCCCTTCCCAGCTGCTGCTGCCGCCTATGGCACTGGATTCAGGATGGGGCCTGCAGCAGCACGCAACACTCCCGCAACGCAGGACAAGTTCCCCTGGAACCAGCAATACTTTTAAAAATGATTATTAATAAAAACGAGCGTATAAATACAATTACCTTTTCTGTCTATCCCTTTTTAATGATGAATGTAATAAGATGAAAATTTTTCACCTGGCATATAAGCCACCCCCCCCCCCATCCCCTGATTTTTGCCTGCTATTTCTGGTTTCAAGGGTTGTCTTATATACCAATATATAGGGTAGGCCAATAATATATATAGGGTAGGCCCCAGGCAGTGTCCCAGACTGCTGTAAATGGGTCCCAACGGCTGCATTTCAACATTAAGTCACACGAAACAGGACTTTTCACCTCAACTGTAACACAAGAAGTGCTAAAAGCCTCAACAACGCATAGCATCCTTACCCTCTATTAACACCGTACGTGTTTTTGCTACTTGTGGTATTTGCAGAAGCCATCTTGCCAGTTCCGCACAAATCAACTCATCTGGAAAAGAAGGAACAGCTAACTGTTAGCTCAAAAGATAACTGAAGAAAACCATCATATTCCATATAGCAGTTTTAAATTGCAAAACCATTTCATGTACTTATTTTATTACTCCCCAAAGCACCAGTAAAATAGCATGTATTATAGCACAGTGCCTTTATAACTCTAGAAAGTCATGGAGACGAGCAAGGCTTTGCCTTCACCAGCTTTCCTGGATACTAAACAAAGAAATCATACATCCAAGAACTTGAAACAGAAGTCCGATTACGGTTGGCACGGTGTAACAGGGATTTTTTTTCCCTAAATGGGGGCTCTCCACAAGTGTTGGACTACAACTCCCATAACTGCTAATACCCCCAGTGAGTGGGACTGCTGGGAGCTGTAGCCCAACACATGTGAATGCAAAAGTCTGTGCTGGCAAAAGTCTGTGCGACACCTTTGCATTCTATTTTAAGCACCACAACTGTGGGACTGGCCTTTTGTTTGTGTCCAAACATACCCCGCTTCTCTTTCTATCTTGCATCATGTCTAGCCTAAAGATAAATTCAAAAGTTTGATCACTGTTTTGTGGGTTCCAAAAGAAAAAAAATCAAGTTCAAATGCAGCTTTCTTTCTTTGGTAAAGCTGATGACCCTCTCAAACTAACCAAATTTCCTGGTTTGTTGTAAGGATAAAGTATGGTAATGGGGCAGTGGAGACAATGGAAGAAGAGACTATAGCAAAGCAAATAATGAACAAAATGAGCACCGAGAACTTTAGACATGTTGCACAAGGCACAAAACAATCTTTCCTTCACTGTCCTGTTGTGTTCTCCTCCCCTCTCTCCCTCTCCCTCTCCCTCTCTCACACACACACATACACACACACACACACACACACACACACACGAAACAGCATACAAAGTCCTACATTTGTCTTCAACATTTCAAGAATTTTAAGACACCAGGGCTTCCTTCAAAGCAAGACAAAAGAAATCTGCTTTCTTCCAAGTGGGTTGCTGAAAACTGAGCATTACTTTCCACAGCAAACTAGAATTCCCATCTAATCCTGCTAGAAATGCTAGCGTATTGGATATATAAGCATGGATAAATATTTCAGACAGCTTTCTTGAGCAGCCTAGCTAGAGATCGCTGCTATTTTTCAGCACCCCCTCACAAGCATGGAAAGTGTTCCGTGTACAATAGGGAGTTGTGGAGAGCGGGGTGGCATGAAAGATTGGTGCTGGGATTTAGGAATGTTCAAGGAGAAAAGTAAACCACGTGGATCACTCCCTGGATCATCCAGGGAGTCGTCCCCCCACTCCAAAAAACGGGGAAATTATGGTGGGTTAGGAGCAAGATGATTACAGGTTCCCAGGGCAGGCTAAACTGCATAAGCAAGCCAAGCAAGAGCTGAGGCAGCAAAATCACCTTGGAATGGCAGGAAAGAATATCCGATGTGAAAGCAGAGCCGTTAGGACAAGCCTACAGAGGCAGCCAATCGTCACATGTTGAGCTGTGAGGTATCAGCATTGCCTCTGTTTGGCAATTTGAGTTGATTCCCACTCTTTGAGCCAGACACCCCAAAGGGGCTCATGCTCAAACTTGCAAAAAACAACTCTTCCATTTAATACATTTTGGAGCCTATACAGTTTAAACTTCCACACTATGAAGGAAGAGAGATCTGGAGGAAAGCTATTTGATGGAGGAGCTGCAGCCTGGTGGCCGAATGGCTGTTCGCATGCAGAGGGTCACAGGCTCAATTCCTGACCTCTCTTGTGTAGGGCTAGAATAATGTCTCCTGGAGAGTTGCTGCCAATCAGTGCCAGCACTACTGAGTTCAACAGACCAAGGATCTGACTCCATGTCCTTTGTTTCTACGGATGGGAGAGCAGAAGGGAGGCAGAAGAACTCAGACCTGCAAAAGGCAGAGAATTTCAAAACATTCACACCGAAAAGCAAAATAGAAACCAACAAGAAAAGTTTCTCATGCATGGCTAACCTTTTATTCCTCAGAACATGGGAAAAGGAGGTGGTAGATGGAGCACCAGAAGTGAACAAAACAGAGCCGAAAGAGGTTTGCAATGCTGTCTTTCCTTCCCTCCTTCCATCTACTAGTTCTCTCAGCCCTTTGGTCTTAACAAGGCCATCAGGTGGGATCCATAAAAAAGCTACTGGGAAAGACCTTTTTCTGTCAAAGACCCCTAAAGACCTCCTGCCAGTGGGAGTTGACTGTATTAGGCATAACCTGATTTGAGGCATTTCCTCTAACCCAGTGAGAGCAAACCTTTTACAGACCGAATGCCCGAACTGCAACACAAAACCCAATTTTTTCACAAAGTACCAACACTACAATAAAACCTGAAAACTGAGGTTTTAGTTTAGAAAAAACATCTCAAAGCAAGTCCAAGTAAATGCACACATAAACACACGCATGCTTGGCAGCACACTGACCACTCATGTGAAAGCCTGGACTAATTTCCGAACAAGCGCATGGCCCCTGTGTGCACCGTAATCCAATGCTCAGCTGCTGGGGGGATGATGAGGCAATTCGGCTCACATGCAGACAGAGAGAGTTCTGCTTGCCCACTCTGGCACACAGGCCATAGGCTCACGACAATTGGCCTAACCCTACAATAGTGCATTCCCCTAACCCTAATACAGGGGTAAAGTTCAATGAATCTAGGACAAATTTGAAAAAGTCTTCCTTGAGTAGCTTTTCCTGCACATCTCATCATTTCTGCCCATTCTAAACACATTCCAAACATCAAAATCATGCCAGGACAGCTCATTTTCCTAACCATAACCCTACCCTGGTGCACACCCCTAACCCTAACATAAGGGTTAAATACCATTGAAAGTAAGATTTTGAAAAAGCCTTCCTTGAGTAGCTTTTTCTGCACAGCTCAACTTTTCTGCCCATTCTAAACACATTCCATACATCCGAATCATGCCAGGACAGCTCATTTTCCTAACCCTAACTCTACCCTGGTGCACACCCCTAACCCTAATAGAAGGCTAAAGTTCCATGGAAAAGAGGGCCATTTTGAAAAAGCCTTCCTTGAGTAGCTTTTTCTGCAGAGCTCATCTTTTCAGCCCATTCTAAACACATTCCAACCATCAATACCATGCAAGGACATCTTATTTTTCTATCCCTAAGCCAGTGATGCTGAACTTTTTAGAGACTGAGTGTGCAAACTACAACCCAAAACCCACCTATTTATCGCAAACTGCCAAAACTTCAATAAAACCTGAAACTGAGGTTTTAGTTCAGAAAACACAACTCACAAGTATTCCAAGCAAATATATTTTATTTATTTATTTAAAACATTTCTATGCCGCCCCCATCGCAACAAAGCCTCGGGGCGGCTCACAACAAAAACAAACGCATATAAAAATTATACAATAAAAATATTAAAACCCAGTGCATCTCGGTTTAAATTTTTTGTTAAAAAACATAATAAATTATGTTATTAATTATAATAAATTATGTTATTAATTATAATAAATTAACAATTAAAATAAGTTTTAAATAAAAATGTCTTAGGCTGGCGCTGAAAAACAAATAACGACGGCGCCAGGCGGACCTCTCTGGGGAGCGCATTCCATAGGTGGGGTGCCACCGCAGAGATATGCTTAGCAGCACACTGACTCACCATGCAAAAGCTTGAACGATTCATGGATAACGAATCACAGCTTGTGACATCATCATCTTGCAGTGCTACTCCTTTCCAAGCATGCGCATCACCCCCGTGTGCGCAGTAATCCGATGCTTGGAAAGTTCTCTTAGAAAGTTCTCGCTAGGTCACCTGGCCTCCTACACAGTGATCTTCACATTTTTGTGGGTTCCTGAGGAGAAAATCCTCACACCCGAACTGCCATACCAGCAGTTTTCATTGTGTGCAAAGCATTCAAAAATCAGGAGAAACGGAAACAAGGAAAATTTGCCTTTAGGCAATGTTTCTCAATCTATCCAAACTAAGGCCTCCAATTATCTTATTCCCACATCACCACAGCCCACCTTCCCATGTGGGAGACAGCCACCAGAAGAGCCAAAACCAATGGCCTATCTTTCCGGACCCCTGTTCACACAGTGGCCACACTGGAAGCCCATGTTCCCCAGCAACTGGCATTAACAGGCATAGTGCATGGACATAATATACAACTGCCACAACTACTAGTCCTTGCTTAACTCTGATTCTCCAAGTAATAAATAGCCATCATTTTTTCCCATAATTTATTTTCATTCCTATACCACCCAATAGTTGAAGCTCTTAGTAATGATAGCATCATACAGCCATTATTTCTCTCCCCCTCTTGAATTTTATTGTAAAATTTCAACACAACAAAACCAAACCAAACCATTAAGAGGAAGAGAAAACAGCCACCATGGGCGAGTACTACCTGTCACTGAGAGCCTGAATTTGTCAACTTCTCTTTCACAGCCATCTAAATCGGTGGCCATCACTACATGTTGTGGAAGCAAACTCCGTCGTTTAACCATGCATTGTGTCAATCACCCCACCTTTCTATCTGCCCATTCTTATCTTCTGCCATTCAGCTTCATGGGATGACTGTGTTTATTTGCTATCAACCAGTATGATGGGAGGGGAAGAAAGAGCTCCACACTAGGCCTATTTTTATACACAACTATCGTGTATTTCTGCATGTGTCCTTTTATTTACTAACATAAGTAAATAGCAAATTAGGTCCTCTTCACTGTAGTGCTGGGGAGAGCTTTCCAGACTCATTCATTTCATTTCATTCATTTTTCGATTTATATCCTGCCTTTTTCTACAAAGGGCTCAAGGCAGTTTACATCTCCTCCTCCATCTTATCCCCACAACAACAACCTTGTGAGGTAGGCTGGACTAAGAGTCTGTGACTGGCCCAAAGTCACCCAGTTGGCTCCATGGCCGAGCAGGGACTAGAACCCAGATCGCCTGAGTCCTAGTCCCACGCTCTTTACCACTACACCACACTGGCTCTCAAGTGCAATACTCAAGCTGCAATACTATGGATACCTTCCAGTATCATGGGAGTTGCATTCCAACGCCTCTGAAGGGCACTGAGATGGGGAAGGCAGAGCAGAATGAACATAACAGGTTGACCTGTAGCAATTCAACTCCACACTTTCATTTTGTTGTTATACCGATTTCTGTACTTTCGCATTTGATCCTGTCACAGTCATATATTTGTAGATCAAGCAGAACAGAAGTAATAAATTGCCAGTATAAATGTACCCAAAGATAGTAAACCATTTTGCAAATCAACAAAATACGATAGAGTCGTAGCAGCAATCCAGATTCCTCTCAATCTGTTCTGAGTCAGCA